CCCAGAATTCCCCAGCCAGCGAATGCTGGCTGGGGAATTCTGGGAGTTGAAGTCCGGACATCTTCAAGTGGCCAAGGTTGAGAAACACTGGTTTATTCGTAGGCTGCCCAGAATCCCTCTCCAAAGGAGGCAAGTGGTTCAAAAATGCGAAAAATAAATAAAATGATGGTTGCATCATCATCATCATCATCATGACTTTCCCAACCGGCTTTCCGACCCCCAGAGTCAATGGGGGAAGATGGATTCACTGACAACTGAGGCCAAAAAAAATTTAATGTCTTAAAATCAGGCACAACGGACAAAACGACCCCCTGGCTCAGTCCCAGAAATCCAGCTCCCAATTTGATTTATTTATTATTTTAGGACATTTTTGTTGCTGCCTCTCTTCCTGCGTGGCGACTCAAGGCGGCTTAAAGGAATATAAAACCCTCAGATATGATATAATTAACCATTGATTGATTGAAAAGCAAAGGCCACTTGCTCTGCACACACAGACCCAAAAGAGTTTGTGAGAGGCTACAACTTTGCGCCCGGACCCCGAAGGGGTTTTGCTGCCTGTCTCAGAGGGAAGTGGAGGTGTGTCGTTATTTGGGGAGGGGGCTGGGGGGTGCACTCCCAGGAACCAAGCAGCTAATTTGGGGGAGCACGAGACTCTCTCTCCATGTCCCCCCTCTCCAGAAGACAAAATCCAGAAACTCCGAAGCTTCTGTGGAGCCAGATGGACTCCAGTCTGGATTGCTGCGATGTTCTTTATAGGGGGCGACCCCTGGAGTTTGCCCTGAAATTTCCTGACAGGAAGAACTATTAACTATTGGAACGGCTTGCCTTCAGAAGTGGTGGAGCCTCCAACCCTGGAGGTTTTTAAGAAGGGACTGGGGAGTCACAGGTGGCTGATGAGGAAGAGGAGGAAGAGCTGGGCCCAGTGCCTGACGCGTGGATGCACAGAAGGCAGAGGAGAGGAGAGCAGTGGAAATCTATGGGCCGGTCCTTGAGACGGAAGAGCCACCGCTGCTAGCAAAGCTCTGGGGATCAAAGGCAGGGGCCAGAGATGAACAGACGTGGCAGGCAAGTATTCATCTCCTTGCCGGAGGGACTTGTTAGCCCTTCATGATATTGGACCTGGGTACTTGAGAGACCACCTGCTGCCAATTACCTCCCACAGACCCATTAGATCTCACAGGGTTGGCCTCCTCAGGGTTCCGTCTACCAGCCAATGCCACCTGGCTATTACCCGGGGGA